CCCATCGACAGTAGAGGATGATAAAAAGGGGTTGAAATATTACACACCCATCGACAGTAGAGGATGATTAAAGAGGTTGAAATATTACACAGTCATTAACTGTACAGAAAGGTTAAATATGTTGAAAAAGCTTCGCTTTGTCCTGATATTCATTAAATACGAAACTCGTTACATTTTTTTATCTCGCAAAATCCTTGCAATGTTTTGATAGTATCTACCTATTTTTTTAATCACATAGTAAGTTCGTATCAGATCATAGACTACATCATTCATATATATTAATGAATTAGATGCATATGGTATTGTCTCCTACCGTCTCTGGATAATGATGTAGAGAATGGTACTGAAATCCCTATGTCTCTGATAGATCGTAGTGACACGTTAGAACGCGCCGTCACGTTCTCTTGTCTTCTCTACGGTGGCTGTTGTTTCATCGATCTAATTTATTGAACAAATACAACTTTTTTTAACGACCCTTTTCCATCCTGAGATAGACATGACGAAAGTTAGCAATGTACACTAGAAATCAATGTAAATAACAGACAGATAATCCAGGAGAAAAAAACATTTAAGCCATTTCATATGCCTCGACTTATACCTTAACTCGATCTATCAAAAATTTGAATGGACAGCGGGCGGAGCTTCTACGCCATCACTGGTTGAAAGCAGCTTTTTTAATTGGCTAAGAATATGCGAGGGACCGTATCGAACAAATTTGTGATTTTTTTAAGGTTTTGTTGAATTTCGTTGATATTGCGATAATTATATTCCTTTTTTGGCTGAACTTATTTTAGAATGTAGATAGTGTGTTTGTTTTTTACGTACGTACTCAAGATCAGATAATGAAGTTTGCTATTTTGACACGAGACGAAAACCAAAACTCATTATCTAATCTCCAGTATACGTATTTTGACTTCGTCTCGTGTTGAAACCAAAATTCATTATCTACTTTTTAGTATATGTATATAAACAAGAGCACCATCCCCTAATTTGATGCCGATCACTATTCCACACGGATCTTGTCATCGTGTGTAGGTATAACCTGCACCGTAAACCAGGAAGCAGACGACATTTTAATATCATTTCTAACTTTGTTTTATGAATTAATCAACGCGACAAGAATGAAAAACATTGTTTATCAAATGATAGAAATACGTTAAGAGAGCTTTAGAGCATGATCATTGGGAAGTTTGGCAATAATGACTCTTTCAAACGCATATGCGATCGTATAAATAAGATAGCGACGAATCGTTTCGCAGACTTATTTTTCGGCAAGTAAATCTTGTACAATGTTCCCGTGTGACCAGATCATCTAATTTACTTATATAAGTTGTTGTTTAGTGGCTTAGATCGTCAATAAATTACACAATACAATCGTGTCGATCCCCGTTCATTGACGACTGAAAAAAAAGTTTGGTTAGGTTTGCGTGTAGCTGGCACAGGTTTCTAATACTTTTAAATTTGCAATGCCTGAAATTTGCGTTTTGATTGAATTAAAACCTACGGATCATCAACTGAACCTACCACACACAGATGCACAGCTCTGTATATTATGTTATTAATATATATATAAAGATCTACTTTCAAGGTTAACTACATTCAGATTAATTGGCTTCGTTTTAGTGTTGAAGCCATCGCTTCGTATTGGTTTTCTATATATTTCATCACCCCCTCCCCCCATCCCCCGTCTCACAAAAATCTAATCTCACATAGTTACTATGCATTTAACGATAAGCTTGACAGCCGATGGGGGTTAAAATAATCATACCATGAATATTTAACAATATTTGTATAACTATCAGATAAGGCATGTTTCCTTGTTAAAAAGCACATAAAGTTACACAGATAATATCAATATAATCTGCTGTTTAGCTTGCTACGTAAGGAAAAAGAAGTCGATAAATTTTTATTGTTTTAGTGAACCTTGGGTTAAAACTTCCGGATCATTTCAAAGCTTTGCAATACTACCTCTTTCAAACACACGTAAACTTCTGGTTCCGGTAATAACTGTTAAGAAGCAGACGCTAAACATAAGATAGCGTTGTTTCGGCAAAAAGACCTCGTGTAATGTCCCTGTGTAGTCAGATCACTTAAACTGTCACGATGGAGGAACACTTGTATGTCATCAATACCATACTTCAGTATATAAATGGTTCATACTTCAGTATATAAATGGTTCATACTTCAGTATATAAATGGTTCATACTTCAGTATGTAAATGGTTCATACTTCAGTATGTAAATGGTTCATACATCAGTATGTAAATGGTTCATACTTCAGTATGTAAATGGTTCATACATCAGTATGTAAGTGGTTTATACTTCAGTATGTAAATGGTTCAAACATCAGTATGTAAATGGTTCATACTTCAGTATGTAAATGGTTCATACTTCAGTATATAAATGGTTCATACTTCAGTATGTAAATGGTTCATACTTCAGTATGTAAATGGTTCATACTTCAGTATGTAAATGGTTCATACATCAGTATGTAAATGGTTCATACTTCAGTATGTAAATGGTTCCTACTTCAGTATGTAAGTGGTTCATACTTCAGTATGTAAATGGTTCAAACATCAGTATGTAAATGGTTCATACTTCAGTATGTAAATGGTTCATACTTCAGTATATAAATGGTTCATACTTCAGTATGTAAATGGTTCATACTTCAGTATGTAAATGGTTCATACATCAGTATGTAAATGGTTCATACTTCAGTTTATAAATGGTTCATACTTCAGTATATAAATGGTTCATACTTCAGTTTATAAATGGTTCATACTTCAGTATGTAAATGGTTCATACTTCAGTATGTAAATGGTTCATACATCAGTATGTAAATGGTTCATACTTCAGTTTATAAATGGTTCATACTTCAATATACAAATGGTTCATACTTCAGTATATAAATGGTTCATACTTCAGTTTGTAAATGGTTCATACTTCAGTATATAAATGGTTCATACTTCAGTATGTAAATGGTTCATACTTCAGTATGTAAGTGGTTCATACTTCAGTATGTAAACGGTTCATACATCAGTATATAAATGATTCATACTTCAGTATATAAATGGTTCATACTTCAGTATATAAATGGTTCATACATCAGTATGTAAGTGGTTCATACATCAGTATATAAATGATTCATACTTCAGTTTATAAATGGTTCATACTTCAGTATGTAAACGGTTCATACATCAGTATATAAATGGTTCATACTTCAGTATGTAAATGGTTCATACACCAGTATATGAAAAAAACCATTCTAAAACAAAGGTTATGTCACGTTCGATAATTTTCTTGTTTTAATCACCAATAGCACCACCCTTTAGGATAAATGTATCGTTATTTTCCAATCGGTAAATATATTTATAATTTAGTACAACGTATATCTATAGATGATAAATAAACATATCTTCAGTCTTTACAAATATGATTCACACCTGTATCTAATCTTTTAGTATCTTTCACGAGTGCGCAGAACTCTTTCTATCAATTACAATAGCACAAGCATAAATGTAAGACGAGAAAGCTGACTTTTCGCGGACACTACCCAGTCATTATAACTTCGCTGTATGGGACAAAATAGAGTCCTTTTTTAAAAACAATAACAATATGTCAACACAAAAATAATATTCATTGTAAAATTATTTTCATATTCAAAAAGAAAATGTTACTTGTTTATGTCACAAAGAGACAAAATTTGCTGTAAAACGTCCAAAGATAGTTTAACCCATATCTTCCAGAGTGCGTTGCGGTACTCCAATGTGTTTTGTGACCGTAAAGGAACGACAACTCTGTAAGAGATTTAGTTAAGCCTGTAACAAGTTACTACGCGGATGCAAATATTGCGGCAATCTACATCTGTTGCTGTTTATGATACGAATTCCATTCAAATGTCTAATGTGTTAGCTCCATATTCAAGACGTTCGGTTGGGGATTGGATTTGACCTCTGATAGGTAATTTTCCTACTTACATGGAAATTAAAGTTTACCATAGAATTGAGGGTCGTGTCACAAGTAAACAACGCCTTCAGATTTCTGGTTTTGTGTTTTTTGTACCGGGCTTTATGATTCGCTAATTTTATCAGATGATTTGTGTTCTCTCTTCTCATTGGCGTAAGTCTACAAAAGTGTTATTTTTGTTTCAATAACGTTTTTATTAATGAGATATTTCTCTATATTTCACTGGTAAAAATGTTCTAAAAATATCGGTATATTTCAATATATAAATATCATTATATTTCAATATATAAATATCATTATATTTCAGTCTATAAATATCATTATATTTCAGTATATAAATATCATTATATTTCAGTATATAAATATCATTATATTTCAGTATATAAATATCATTATATTTCAGTATATAAATATCATTATATTTCAGTATATAAATATCATTATATTTCAGTGTATACAGAAATAAATGTAAACCAAAAAAAACAGCTGGATAGTGTCAATAGCCACGAATTTTAATCAGTTCGTAAAGGTTGATATTGGATTCTGCCGCAATTTCCGTTAATTTTAGGACAAACGACACAAGTGAATAACACCTTTTTAACACAAATTTCGTTCTTCTAGGACTTGTCAGCTACGCTAAGGCCTTAATATTTTTAAACGTAGGAGGCGACTCGGGAAAAAGAAAAAAAAATATGGAAATTTTCAAAAAAAAAAAAAAAAAAAGATAAGGGCTGGATTGAACCCAAAATTGAACAAATTTCATAAATTCTAATGCTTGATTATTTCAAAAGAACGTCAAATACATGTGAATATTCTGAATCGTACCACCATTCAAATGATTAAAAAAATGCAAGTTATGGAAAACCTCGGAGTGAAGTCTACCAGTAGTGATGCAACCTGAAATTAAATTATTATACATATTGCTTTTATATGGCGAACTGCGAATTAGAATATACAGTCACAGATGTAGAGACTGCTTTAAATACATTTGACAATCTGAATTTGGTCACCAGCATGTAATGACGAAGTGCTTACCTGCGGAACACTGAACAAGGCACTTAAAAGCCACGACACTCCTATCATGAATCGAACTCTCTGAGGGGCTTTATTCCTACTGATGGGATCCAAGATAACACAGCACCGATCCAAACTAATTACAACAGTTATATATGTGGACAGTAAAAGACCGAACGCTTGTATGTAACGCAAAATTTTACACATGGCATTTCCCGCCAAAAACTGCATGGTGATCGTCCAAAACGCTTCGGCAGCCATACAGAAAAACGTGACAATTAAATCGGCGATGGCAAGGTTGACGATGAGAGTGTTGATTGTAGAGCGTCGTTTTCTCATACGGTACATCTGAATTAAAGTAGCAGTATTTCCTATGAAGGAAATGAGAAAAATAACAGACAGGACTATGGTTTCTACCATATGGGCTTCGTTAAACACAGGTGGGGATGCTGTCGTTGTCTGGCTGAATTCCACCGTTGAATTATCATCAGAATAATTTAAAAACACAGACGATGACAAATTTTTTGCTACATCTTGAAATTTCAACACTGTAAAATCCGGAGTGGTGACATCGTTCCAGGCGCTATTCCCAAATTTCACCGATATGGCAGTGGTTTTCAAATGATTCGTATTCATCATTTTTTCATTTCTCCCAACATCCTAGCTGATAACAATGGACCGTAAGCATTAGCAAATTAAACGGTACTTAAAATCACCCATTAGAGAGATCCGCTTTCAAATCATAGACAACATCACTGGATCTGTGCCACAGCAGTGGCAGCAGTGAACTGGCTGGCAGATCGGAGGCAGCACACGTAGCCGGCGTGCGCTATATTACACTGAGCAATTTACAAACCTTGTTATCATCTCGACAGCGCGAGGCGAGCTGATTAGTGCGAAGAGCACAGTGCCTAATGTTATCCTCATACACCTGTATGTGAAGGTGTGGCTGTGGCATACACCTGTATATGAAGGTGTGGCTTTGTTCGCGAACCTGTTGTACGTGTATATGAAGGAAATGTATTATCGGAATGCAATTGTACACAAAGGCAGTTTCAACTAACAGTTTGCGTACCTATGCATGCAAGGTGATGTTTAGTTGACCTACACTTTTACACAGAAGCTGTAATGGGGTTCCAACTAGTGACCCTTCGGTCTCTAGCCGGACACTCTACTGCTCGATTAAAAGGAAATTCCCACTAACCAATGCTAGTAAGGCGACATGTAATCTCAACTTCTACAGTACTACCTTCTTCATAAAGACTTCGACATTGAAAACAACAAAAACCTAAGGTAGCAACACAATCTTCTATAGCTTCAACCCTTAGAGTGGTCACAGCACCAAATCTGTTGTAGGAAGGAGTATTGATTAAAAAAGCCTGCCACCGCTGGTGTTCGAACTAGCGACCCTTTAACCTGCACCCGGACTCCCTACCGAGGGTAGTAAGAGTACACCTTTAGACAATGGTGATATACGGCCAGCATACAACCGTACACACAGATGATTTTTTATAGACCTTATCCTGTCGTTACAGAGTTCGGATTTATCGGTCTACACTTGTACACATATTTTGGGGTTTGTCGTCCTAAACCTGTCCACAAGTTTAAGGTTTAGTCGGTATACTTCCCGTAGCAAAGTTGAGGATTCTTTGGTCTATACTTGTACAAAAAATGGGGTTTGTCGTCCTATATCCGTCGAAAAAAAGAGATTTTCTTGGTTTATTCCTGTTTACAAAATTTGTTTACGTCGGCAAATACCTTCACACAAGTGTAAGGGTTTGTTAGGCGTTGGCTTTCAACAATGTTCAGGGTTTGTTAGCCGTTGGCTGTCAACACAATGTTCAGGGTTTGTTAGCCGTTGGCTGTCAACACAATGTTCAGGGTTTGTTAGCCGTTGGCTGTCAACAATGTTCAGGGTGTGCTAGCCGTTGGCTGTCAACACAATGTTCAGGGTTTGTTAGCTGTTGGCTGTCAACACAATGTTCATGGTTTGTTAGCCGTTGGCTGTCAACACAATGTTCAGGGTTTGTTAGCCGTTGGCTGTCAACAGTGTTCATGGTTTGTTAGTCGTTGACTGTCAACACAGTGTTCAGGGTTTTCCGTCAATACCAGTAAACCATGTTGTGTTTTTTCTCGTCCTATATTTGTAGACAAGCTTGAGGTGTTTTTGTCCTGTATCTGTTCACGATGTCTTTTCAGTGTTGACTCTAACCTGTTTAAGTATTATTTGACGATATGTTGCCGGTGTAGACTCTAACCTGTTTAAGTATTATTTGACGATATGTTGCCGGTGTAGACTCTAACCTGTTTAAGTATTTTTTGACGATACTTGCCGGTGTAGACTCTAACCTGTTTAAGTATTTTTTGACGATACTTGCCGGTGTAGACTCTAACCTGTTTAAGTATTATTTGACGATACTTGCCGATGTAGACTCTAACCTGTTTAAGTATTTTTTGACGATATGTTGCCGGTGTAGACTCTAACCTGTTTAAGTATTATTTGACGATACTTGCCGGTGTAGACTCTAACCTGTTTAAGTATTATTTGACGATATGTTGCCGGTGTAGACTCTAACCTGTTTAAGTATTTTTGACGATACTTGCCGGTGTAGACTCTAACCTGTTTAAGTATTATCTGACGATACTTGCCGGTGTAGACTCTAACCTGTTTAAGTATTATCTGACGATATGTTGCCGGTGTAGACTCTAACCTGTTTAAGTATTTTTGACGATACTTGCCGGTGTAGACTCTAACCTGTTTAAGTATTTTTGACGATACTTGCCGGTGTAGACTCTTACCTGTTTAAGTATTTTTTGACGATACTTGCCGGTGTAGACTCTAACCTGTTTAAGTATTTTTGACGATACTTGCCGGTGTAGACTCTAACCTGTTTAAGTATTTTTGACGATACTTGCCGGTGTAGACTCTAACCTGTTTAAGTATTTTTGACGATACTTGCCGGTGTAGACTCTAACCTGTTTAAGTATTTTTTGACGATACTTGCCGGTGTAGACTCTAACCTGTTTAAGTATTTTTGACGATACTTGCCGGTGTAGACTCTAACCTGTTTAAGTATTTTTGACGATACTTGCCGGTATAGACTCTAACCTGTTTAAGTATTTTTGACGATACTTGCCGGTGTAGACTCTAACCTGTTTAAGTATTTTTGACGATACTTGCCGGTGTAGACTCTAACCTGTTTAAGTATTATTTGACGATATGTTGCCGGTGTAGACTCTAACCTGTTTAAGTATTTTTTGACGATATGTTGCCGGTGTAGACTAACCTGTTTAAGTATTATCTGACGATATGTTGCCGGTGTAGACTCTAACCTGTTTAAGTATTTTTGACGATACTTGCCGGTGTAGACTCTAACCTGTTTAAGTATTTTTGACGATATGTTGCCGGTGTAGACTCTAACCTGTTTAAGTATTATTTGACGATATCTTGCCGGTGTAGACTCTAACCTGTTTAAGTACTATTTGACGATATGTTGCCGGTGTAGACTCTAACCTGTTTAAGTATTTTTTGACGATATGTTGCCGGTGTAGACTAACCTGTTTAAGTATTATCTGACGATATGTTGCCGGTGTAGACTCTAACCTGTTTAAGTATTTTTGACGATACTTGCCGGTGTAGACTCTAACCTGTTTAAGTATTTTTGACGATACTTGCCGGTGTAGACTCTAACCTGTTTAAGTATTATTTGACGATATCTTGCCGGTGTAGACTCTAACCTGTTTAAGTATTATTTGACGATGTTTTTCCTGTGTGGACTCTTACCTATTTAAGGGTAAGTATGTCTGGCCTTATCTGCGTTTTTTTAAATATTCTAATTTCATGGTCACGTGTTTGCTGGTTTAGCGCGGCCTAGCAGAGAAAGGTTGTTTTACTGTACTTATTCAGTCCACATATCTTGTTATCAGCAGTCTGGCCAGCATTTGATCTGGCGCCAAATTTCGACAAACATTAACTTATCGACATAAAACCAGCACTGTTTACTAAGATTACCAAAGCATTAGTTATTAATAACGTCATATAACAATGAAGTGTCCATCCCATATATCAGATTGTACTGGATTTTAATCTTATATCACATTAATAATTTATCTTCATTACACTGAAATAAAACTATACGATTATTTGTCTTTCTATAGAACAGTTCAGTCAGTTGCAATTAGTTGTTGGTAGGGCCTACTGGAAAGTCTCGAACCAGGCTGTATTTTTCTACAAAAGACACATCAGTGAATATCACCTTACAAAACCTTTTCTTTAGAACTGAATTATAAAGATGCTTCGTAATTCAGGACTCGCACGTGATGTTTAGGGCCTATATTGGGAAATCTAGTAAGCAACAATGAAAGGTCAATTCAATGAAAAGTCAAAACCTATAATTCGTAGTTAATGTATATTTAATAATTTTGTATATAGCATGGTCAGTAAGAGTCAATCATAATCTGTGTTACACAGTCTACACGTGTCTGACACACTGTGTGACACAGTCTACACGTGTCTGACACACTGTGTTACACGGTCTACACGTGTCTGACACACTCTGTGACACAGTCTACACGTGTCTGACACACTGTGTGACACAGTCTACACGTGTCTGACACACTGTGTTACACGGTCTCAACGTGTCTGACACACTGTGTTACACGGTCTACACGTGTCTGACACACTCTGTGACACAGTCTACACGTGTCTGACACACTGTGTTACACGGTCTACACGTGTCTGACACACTGTGTTACACAGTCTACACGTGTCTGACACACTGTGTTACACGGTCTACACGTGTCTGACACACTGTCTTACACAGTCTACACGTGTCTGACACACTGTGGTACACAGTCTACACGTGTCTGACACACTGTGTTACACGGTCTACACGTGTCTGACACACTGTGTTACAAGGTCTACACTTGTCTGACACACTGTGTTACACGGTCTACACTTGTCTGACACACTGTGTTACACAGTCCACACGTGTCTGACACACTGTGTTACACAGTCTACACCTGTCTGACACACTTTTTTACAAGGTCTACACGTGTCTGACACACTGTGTTACACAGTCTACACTTGACTGACACACTGTGTTACACAGTCTACACTTGTCTGACACACTGTGTTACACAGTCTACACGTGTCTGACACACTGTGTTACACAGTCTACACGTGTATGATACAATGTGTTACACAGTCTACACTTATCTGACAAACTGTGTTACACGGTCTACACGTGTCTGACACTCTGTGTGACACAATCTACACGTATCTGACACACTGTCTTACACAGTCTACACGTGTCTGACACACTGTGTTACAAGGTCTACACGTGTCTGACACACTGTGTTACACGGTCTACACGTGTCTGACACACTGTGTTACACAGTCTACACGTGTCTGACACACTGTTACACGTGTCTGACACACTGTGTGACACAGTCTACACGTGTCTGACACACTCTGTGACACAGTCTACACGTGTCTGACACACTGTGTGACACAGTCTACACGTGTCTGACACACTGTATTACACAGTCTACAGGTGTCTGACACACTGTGTTACACAGTCTACACGTGTCTGACACACTGTGTTACACGATCTACAGGTGTGTGACACACTGTG